GGGGGATCCAGGGAGCTACCATTCACACACCGCGGGGGGATCCAGGGAGCTACCATTCACACACCACGGGGGGATCCAGGGAGCTACCATTCACACACCGCGGGGGGGATCCAGGGAGCCACCATTCACACACCGCAGGGGGGATCCAGGGAGCCACCATTCACACACCGCGGGGGGGATCCAGGGACCCACCATTCACACACCGCGGGGGGATCCAGGGACCCACCATTCACACACCGCAGGGGGGATCCAGGGACCCACCATTCACACACCGCGGGGGGGATCCAGGGACCCACCATTCACACACCGCGGGGGGGATCCAGGGACCCACCATTCACACACCGCGGGAGGAACATTTGGAAGTAGAAAATACCCAAATTTACTAATAAACTACTTACAATGTTTATACTTTGTCTGACTGTGTGTATAGCATTGTAAATGTGAGGCAGTGTGTGTATGTGCTCTCTGTATGAGTTAGTGTGTGTGTAGTAGTGTGTCGTTATTTAAATTTGTATAACAGTGTGACCATACTGTTGTCTGAGCGTGTGTCATTGTCTGTATACCTTGTGTGTCTACAATGTCTGTATGTTATTGTGTGTGTATATATAGTATATAACCATGTGTGTACATACCATTTATAACAGAGATGGATATGTTACAGAGACTGCTGAATAAACATACAGAGACTGCTGTGTACACACCCGCCCACACACACAGACTGCTGTGTACACACCCGCCCACACACACAGACTGCTGTGTACACGCCCGCCCGCCCACAGACTGCTGTGTACACGCCCGCCCGCCCACAGACTGCTGTGTACACACCCGCCCGCCCACAGACTGCTGTGTACACACCCGCCCGCCCACACACAGACTGCTGAGTACCTGCTCTCAAGGCACAGCTCTTGCTGCCATGCTTCCATCTCCTTGACCTGCAGCTCCTGCTCCCATGCGGACTCTATCAGTGGCTAGGGCACAGACAAGCTACGACATCCCATCTCAGCCCTCTCCACACCAATGAGTTTTCTTAGTACGGCCTCAGAGCACTGCCCATCCAGGTGGCCGGTATTGCTGAATATTCTCTTCAAAGAAAAATACCGGCAATTGTAATGCCGGTATTTTTGCAAAACCGGCACTGGCCACAGAGCATCGAATACAGTCTGTGTCGGTAAAATACCTGCCAGGTGGTAACCCTATAATCCAGACCCTGAGGAGGCAGGCTCAGCTAGCCGGATCGAGGAGCATGTCTGAGTGTGGGGGAGCCTGTAGGAAAGAGTGATTGGGTGTGGTCAGCAGTAAGTGATTGGCAGGGTGGGGGGTATAAATAGGAGTCATGTTAGGTACTTCCTCCCCTGCCATTTTATAATTGGCTTGGAATTTTTTCACCCTCTCCCCCTTCTCTTTAGTTAGGTTGTTGCTTTGTTTATATTTCACTCTCACATTGCCGATCTTCACAGCAGGCGGGTGGTTGTCCTTGCCAACTGTGGGTTGAACTGGGGGAGTCCAACGGGTGTGAAGGAAAGTGAGGCTGATCCCTCCCCTCGCCTCTGTGAAGTTAAGGTATTATTATTATGGTTTATTACCGGCATGCCCACTGAGCCAAATGTCGGCTAGTGGTTAGCATGGCGTTGGTAGTTTTGTGGGCAGTATTGGTTGGGACGAGAGGGGAGGGCACATGCCCAGGTGAGTTCCGAGGTTAATGATAATTGATTGGCAAGGACCAAAATATTGGTGAAATATTGTAATTAAAAAAACTATTTCCACACGTCACAGAATGTTTTGCTGTAACATGCCAGCTTTATAAACAAAGATAAAATCCAAGCTTTGACCCGGCTGCTGACATTTTGATAATAAACTCTAATGGTTTATGTGACGGAACGCTGGCACTCCGACTGAGTACCTCCGCCAATCGATGCTCCTAGTGCTCGCTGAGGACTCCAAGCACTCCAACCGACACCATCAGCACTGCAGACCCCACTTCCAGCGATGCAACTGCGCCGGGGTCTCTGTTGTCTCCACCCACCCTGGACCCAAGGCCAGGATCCAGCTTCCAGTGGGTGAACCTCTCTTTCCCCAGAGAGCAAGAACAGGAACAGGAACAAGCTCTTAGCAGAACTTAGTGATCATACCCTGGGGAGTATAGTGCTTATAGCAATCCCCAGAGTGTAGGTATCCCTTCCCCCAAACATGAGCCAAGGCTTAATGCTGGAACAAGACTGATTTACTGGCACACAGAACTCACAATTTATGCAACACAAAACTCCTCCTCTGGGCCAGGCTAGATAATTGAGTTTCTACAATACACAAAGCTCAATTATCTGCTGGACAGAACTAATACAGTTTCACAAACCACACAGGGACCCCAAAATATGCAATAACTCCATAAAAGGTATATCCTTGGAACCGGGGGATCTGGTTGAACCACATATCCAAAATTCACCCAGATCCGTTCAGTACTTTGGAAAATACAGTTTAATGCAGATTCTGCAGAACATATACAGGCTAAATAAAAAACAATCACTGTATAATGTGTCCCCTGCTGTATAGTCCAAAACCACCGCACGATGTCTCTGTGCAACAAATACTGGCGAGATAGCACCGTGTTGAAAAGTCCACACAGTGTCTGTGAGTTAAAATGGCCGCCATCCATTGTTCTCACCATGTGCTTCTGATACAGGAAATGGTGGCCACCCAGTAACTCCACAGTATGTCCCCAGATGGTTCTTAAAGGGCCAGCAGCAGCACAATACAAATCCATTATACCCAAATCATGTCTTTAAAGGGCAATACAAACCAGGGGCCATAGTCACAGGGCAAGAGGCGGGCAAGCAGTCCTCTCCAGGCACAAGTGGCGAAGGGCACTTCGTCACACATCTTCCCTTTGGGGGGAAGACTAAACAGGTACCTGACCTTCTGCCGGTCAGTACCTAGATTAGTCGGGCAGCCCACCCACAAAGAAAAATACACAGAGTAACCCCCCCACAATAAATAGTACTGGCCTGTAGGTTCAAGTTTGTAGTGGGACAGCGCAGCACTCTCGGTCTCCCTGGTGCAGCTAGGCAAACTGCTGGTGTTGCTTGGGGGGCAGAGGCCTGCCCTGCTGCCAGCTCTTCCACTGGGGTAACCCGTGGTAAGTCAGGCTCTGATACAGGGGAAAAGGGGGGCAGAGGCTAACAGAGCTCTGCCCAGATGCCAGCTCTTCTGCTGGGAGGGGGTCAGTGGGTATCGCAGGCTCATCCACTGCCCCCAGGACCCGGTTGGGATGTAGCTGGGGAGGGGAAGTTTCACTTACCTCCTCCTCCTGGCATCCCTGCGGAGTTGGTTGAGGATCTGGACCGCCCGTCCAGCCTCCCTGTAGGACTGGCACAGAGACCGCGGTCCCATCTGCGCCAGTGTGGTTAGGTTTGTCTTCCCCCTCTCCTGGTATCTCTGGCTGCTGTTGGAGGGGGAGGCTGGTTGCCCCCACTCCCCAGGACGCTGGTTGCTGTAAGGTGGAGGGATCGACCATCACCTCCTCCTGGAACTCAGGCCGCCACTGGGGAGAGAGACCAGTTGTCTCCTCTCCCTGTATATTATGCTGCCGCTGGGGACCTGGGCTGACTGCCCAGCATCCCTGTAGGGCTGGCAGAGAGACTTCGGTCCCATCTCCGCTTGCCATCTCTGTGTGTCCCCAGGACACGTCTATGAGGTCCACCACCTCAGGTACCTCTGGTTGGTGGAGGAGAGGGAGGCCGGTTGCCTCCCCTCCCCAAGACGCTGGTTGCTGTATGGGGGAGGGATCTACCATCACCTCCTCCTCGAACTCAGGCTGCTGCTGGGAAGGGAGACCGGTTGTCTCCTCTCCCTGTGAGATACACTGCCGCTGGGGATCTGGGCCGGGTACCCAGCATCCCTGTGGGGCAGGTGGAGAGACCTCGGTTCCATCTCCACCTGCCATCTGTGGGTCTTCCCAGGACCGTTCCATTAGGTTGCTCACCTCTGGGGCTGGTTGGACAGAAGAGGGTAGGGTGTCCAGGTAATCCTCTGGGCCGAGGGACGGTGATTGGGCTAAGTTGAACAGGCGTCGGTAGCTCTGCTCCAGCCCCCACTCCATTGCGACCAGATGACTCAGGTCTGCCCCCAGGTCGTCCGCTCGGGGAAGATCCAGCAGGGTTTCCCTGATGTTGTGGATGTCCCAGAACCGAAACTCTGTGGGGCATCCAAAGTCATCGCCCTCCTCATAGGCCTCCCACAGTAAGCCCGGGCCATTATAATCCTCTCCCTAGGGCAGATAGTGGTTAGTCATCGAGGGGTTGCGCTGGGTGGCGTACCACTTTAATGCCCGGTAAGCTGCATCTAGCCACAACTCCTTCCAAATTAAATCCCAGAGTTCCAACAACCATTCATCCAAGGGTTGCTCCCCTAGGAAAGGGGAGCGCAGGGCCTCGAGTACCTGGAACCGCTGCTCGTCACTGGGAAGGCTCTCTCCCGCCGCCGTTGTACCTTTTCCAGGGCATCGTGCCACATCTCCGTACGAGTGACATCTCTCCAGTCCAGTATGCACTCCTCTGATACAGGCCCGTCCTGTTGGGCCAAGTGCTGCTGCAACCTCCAGCGAAATTCCTCTTCCATGTTGCTGTGGATAGGGACGCTGCCCGTAGCTAGCTCTATCCCTTGAGTTCCTCTGAAGCCAGGGTCGCTGCACAAGTGCTAGCGTTGCCCTCAATTATAAATCCGTAACTCCACACGTTACTGGTGTCTCCGAGCTGCTGGTCCTCGCACTAGGACGCCATCCCGCCGCTGCCACCAAATGTGACGGAACGCTGGCACTCCGACTGAGTACCTCCGCCAATCGATGCTCCTAGTGCTCGCTGAGGACTCCAAGCACTCCAACTGACACCATCAGCACTGCAGACCCCACTTCCAGCGATGCAACTGCGCCGGGGTCTCTGCTGTTTCCACCCACCCTGGACCCAAGGCCAGGATCCAGCTTCCAGTGGGTGAACCTCTCTTTTCCCAGAGAGCAGGAACAGGAACAAGCTCTTAGCAGAACTTAGTGATCATACCCTGGGGAGTATAGTGATTATAGCAATCCCCAGAGTGTATTTCTCCAATCCCCCAAACATGAACCAAGGCTTAATGCTGGAACAAGACTGATTTACTGGCACACAGAACTCACAATTTATGCAACACAAAACTCCTCCTCTGGGCCAGGCTAGATAATTGAGTTTCTACAATACACAAAGCTCAATTATCTGCTGGACAGAAATAATACAGTTTCATAAAACACACAGGGACCCCAAAACATGCAATAACCCCATAAAAAGTATATCCTTGGAACCGGGGGATCTGGTTGAACCACAAATCCAAAATTCACCCAGATCCGTTCAGTACTTTGGAAAATACAGTTTAATGCAGATTCTGCAGAACATATGCAGGCTAAATGAAAAACAATCACTGTATAATGTGTCCCCTGCTGTATAGTCCAAAACCACTGCACGATGTCTCTGTGCACCAAATACTGGCGAGATGGCACCATGTTGAAAAGTCCAAACAGTGTCTGTGAGTTAAAATGGCCGCCATCCATTGTTCTCACCATGTACTTCTGATACAGGAAATGGTGGCCACCCAGTAACTCCACAGTATGTCCCCAGATGGTTCTTAAAGGGCCAGCAGCAGCACAACACAAATCCATTATACCCAAATCATGTCTTTAAAGGGCAATACAAACCAGGGGCCATAGTCACAGGGCAAGAGGCGGGCAAGCAGTCCTCTCCAGGCACAAGTGGCGAAGGGCACTTCGTCACAGTTTATATTTCTGTAAATGCTCTGGGTGTCCCCCAGCATGTTTATATCTCGGTTACGGTTATTCTATGTGGACAATGAATATTTATAATAAATAATAATATACAGAGAATACATGATTAAAGACTGGAAAAGAAATTGGAAAAAGATTGTGAGAAACTCCTAGATTATTTTGCAAGGGACTGTCACAACTGATCTTATAGCTTGCAAACCAGTCACTTCTCAGCATTTTATAAAGTTACATTCTTTGTGAAATACTGATTTAGTATTAAGTTGAAATTCCAACGTAATCCGAAGATACTGCAAGACAAGCTTGAGACAAAGTCTGAGCACCACCATTAACGTTTGTCTAATCAGAGCAGCTGTCACAAGTAGCGGCTGTCGGATTCAGGTATCAATCAATGGAGTCTCTCGTGGGATCCTCCATAAACCTCACTTTTGTACTCTCTGACATACGCAAGAATATAGCAATGATGCGAATCCTGGCAAAGGAAGTGCCAGGGGTTGCAGAGAACCATCAGGATGAAGATGGATTCGTTCATGGAGGACTGCTTTCTTTCAACCCCCTGGTCATTAGACCCACACCCACAAAATATGCAAAGGCCCACGAAAGTCACAGCTCTGCTTTAATGAGATTTTTGCTGTTCAGATTTCACTTCTCTACAATCCAAATTTTCATTCACACAGGCATGATTGCAAATACTGCTCCACTATTAGAATAAATTCAACCTGGACGGATGATAGTTAAAGCGGCACTGTCGTGCTGAACTTTTCCCAATCTCTTCCTCTTCTCCCTCCCGCTCTAGTGTTCATTAAAACATAAGACAAAGTAGGGACTATTTTTTCTTGTGTATTATTCCTGCGCTTGGCCATCCTTGACCCATTTCTGTGATCTCGTGATGCCTCTTTTCACTATTCCCGAACGCTGGCGGAACTTTTTCGTCCTAACAGAATGAGTACAGTTTGTCCGTTCATGTTAGGACGACATTCGGTAGTTTTTAGTTAGGTTCAAAATTTCATTTGAATTAATGAAATTCCGATCCAGTCCGCACTGTGGTTGCATCCTGCAGCCGCTTAGTAGATAGATCCCTAATTTTCACAGTATTAGGGAGCTATCTACCAAAAGGCTGACAGACCAAGATTGGTCTTTAACCTATCTTTACTAATACTAAGTAAAGATTACTTAGTGTTAGTAATTAAGCAAGATTAAAATCATCCTTCTGCCCCTGCTCGCTTAGGGTGGGAGCCCTAAGTCCCCAAGTAACCCCCCTCCCCAATAAAATTAAACCCTACCTACCCCCTCACCCTAAAAATAGTGAGGGGGGGAGGGAGGAAAAAACTAAATACCTGAAAAACAAAAATAATTCATACTTACTGTGACGAAGTGCCCTTCGCCACTTGTGCCTGGAGAGGACTGCTTGCCCGCCTCTTGCCCTGTGACTATGGCCCCTGGGATGTATTGCCCTTTAAAGACATGATTTGGGCATAATGGATTTGTGTTGTGCTGCTGCTGGCCCTTTAAGAACCATCTAGGGACATACTGTGGAGTTACTGGGTGGCCACCATTTCCTGTATCAGAAGCACATGGTGAGAACAATGGATGGTGGCCATTTTAACTCACAGACACTGTTTGACTTTTCAACACGGTGCCATCTCGCCAGTATTTGGTGCACAGAGACATCGCAGGTGGTTTTGGACTATACAGCAGGGGATTATACAGTGATTGTTTTTATTTAGCCTGTATATGTTGTGCAGAATCTGCATTCAACTGTATTTTCCAAAGTACTGAACGGATCTGGGTGAATTTTGATATGTGGTTCACCCAGATCCCCCGGTTACAAGGATATACTTTTTATGGGGTTATTGCATGTTTTGGGGTCCCTGTGTGTTTTATGAAACTGTATTATTTCTGGCCAGCAGATAATTGAGCTTTGTGTATTGTAGAAACTCAATTATCTAGCCTGGCCCAGAGGAGGAGTTTTGTGTTGCATAAATTGTGAGTTCTGTGTGCCAGTAAATCAGTCTTGTTCCAGCATTAAGCCTTGGCTCATGTTTGGGGGAAGGGATACCTACACTCTGGGGATTGCTATAATCACTTACTCCCCAGAGGAAGCTCTTGCAATAGCTTGATTTGTTCCTGTTCCTGCTCTCTGGGGAAAGAGAGGTTCACCCACTGGAAGCTGGATCCTGGCCTTGGGTCCAGGGTGGGTGGAAACAGCAGAGACCCCAAGGCAGTTACACCGCTGGAAGTGGGGTCTGCAGTGCTGATGGTGTCGGTTGGAGTGCTTGGAGTCCTCAGCGAGCACTAGGAGCATTGATTGGCGGAGGTACTCAGTCGGAGTGCCAGCGTTCCGTCACACTTACCATTAGATGTCTTCTTTTTTTACTTAAACACACAGTGCTCTGATAGGTAAATTTAAGCCTTGCAAGTTACCAATCAGAGTACTCTCATTGGTTGTCTTAAACCAACCAATCAGAGTGCTCTGACTCAAACTGCAGGGCGTGGGAAGGCTTTATAAACCTTTCCTTGCCCTGTGGAGCTCAGTCTGCGTGGTGCCATAGCTGAGTGAATATGGATTATTTTTTTAGCATCAGGGTTTTATTAGGTCGATGGGAATTATGGCATTTTATTTGGTCTTTTTTGGGGCTGAAAACATATTTTAGAAAATAGGTCAATAGGTCCCCCTTTTGTTACTTTTGGCCCCCACCTGCTGCTTATGGGTGGGGGCGAGACAATAGGTTTCCCCCTACCCATTTTGTTAGTTTTGCCCCTCACCTACTCCTCATGGGTGAGGGCCGGGCGGAGACAATAGGTCTCCTCCCCAGCCCTTTTTGTTACTTAGGGCCCCTACCTGTTGCTCATGGGTGGGGGCAAGGAGTGGAGACAATACGTTTCCCCTCCCCCTTTTGTTACTTGTGGTACCCACCCATCGCTCGTGGTTGAATACCCCCGTGGGACGACACTCTTTGTCACAAATTCTTTACCAGACAAAGGCAGAACTTAATAAAACAATATTTATTATGAGCAAAAAAATTGTCAATAGTGCGTACAAAAATATAGATGACAATCATTATTTACACCATCAACAGATAAAAAATTAAAAAAAACAAAAGGGATAAAATAACAGAAGTCCTAATCACTTACTCAGGTTTTCAAAGTAAAACTTCTGCCCTAGGGGTCTCTGGCAAGGAAGATGGTGACTCACTCAAAATTAGATTTTGGCCCCAAGCAAGTTCAATACACATTTCAGAATCATTAGATATGTACCCTGTGGATTACCAAGCCTGGCCCAGAGGTGAAAAAAAGGTGTACCTACAGAAACAATACGTGACCAACCCTTGTGTTCCACACCAACATCAATCCAAATAGAAACATGTGGTTCTATCTCCTCTTGTGAACTTGCCACAGAAATAATTGCATCTATGAATTTGTTACCATTTTCCCATTCCATAGATATGTCACACTTCTTATTTGAGACCCAACATAGCGGACATCACAATTCCTTCCCTTATGGTTAAGTTACGCGTTTTATGCTTTGGCTTAATTAGAAGGTTGTGCTTGTCCCATTCTAAATTTAATAAAAATAAGGCTTAATTATTACTCTGTGGGTAAGTATTAATGTTTCTTTTGGATATGATACTGGAACACAAAGCTAATGGCCATTAACATATCAAAGGACCCAGGGCCAGATTAAGAACCCAGTGGGCCTGGTTCTGACAATTATGATGGGCCTAATTACATAATCTTATCGACCAAAACCACAAAAACAATCATACCTCCCAAGCATCATGTATCTGATGGAGATGGTGCTGGAGGGAAACTCAAAGGATGCAGCTATATGAAAACACATACTCTATGCTAATCTCTCTCTAATTTATTCTTTCAATCCATTCCCCCTAACAGCAGGGTCCAGTGAAGCAGGAAGTCAATGGGCAGGGTAAAAGGGTGTGCCACTGGTGTGAATCACCTGACCAGACCTGCCAAAAAGGGCAATAATGCAGACTGTCCAACTAAGGGCATACTAGGCAGACAGCACCCTGAGCTTGATCAAATGATGCGCCTATTCATAAATGTCTACTTGTCTCCTTACCTTCTTACTAGCAGGCAGAAGCTCCTGGTATATGGTCTGGGACAGAGAAAGGGTGTATGTAGTGAGTGTAGAAGAAAGGGGACATGCCACAGTGTTAGAGAGACCAACGTATGCATTACCTAAACTAATTTTATTGTGAGCCAGGCTACACAAGTTTTGTTCCCATACATCCCCTTTAAGCTTCCAAACTTAAAAGGACACAATAGTCACCAGAACAACTACAGCTTATTGTATTTGTTCTGGGAAGTAGAATCACTTACTTCAGGCTTTTTGCAGTAAACACTGTCTTTCAGACAAAATAACTCCACTGGCCACTCCTTACATGGCTGCTAGAGGTGCTTCCTGGGGCAGTACTGCCTAGTGTGCAGCACTGCCATTCAGTGTCTCCACCCTCTGCATGCAGACACTGAA